CAAAGAAATACATTTACCACACAGATCACACAGATACACAAATAGATATCTGTACAACTCACCCAATTTGATGTTTCATTATAGTAATCATTTTTAATTATTCAGAAAATATTTAGAATATAAAAGGTACTTAATGTTATAATAACATCTCTCAGAAGTAATCAATTTAGCAACTAACCAGTGAGATGGGCTAGTGAGATTCCTCAGTGCACAAAGGCACTTTCTACCAAGTCTGATAACCTGAGTTTGCTTTCTAGAACTTACATAGTAAAGGAAGAAGAAACTGTTCTGGCAAGTTATTCTTTGACTTGCTCATGTGTGCCATGAACTGCGCCTCCCCCCCCCCATCCCACCCACACAGAACAAATGAGTATAAAAGATGGAAGAATAATGCTAATAGGCATTTCTCAAAAGGAAAAACAATAACACCAATAAATTCATGGAAAATGCTCAGTACCATGAACCACATAGAAATGCAAATAAAATATCATCTTACCACAGTTAAAATTGGGTCTCTGAAAAAAATATAACAAAACATAAAGGCACACACCTGATGTAAATTCTGTTTATTTCTTTAAAATGTTGTTTATGGGCAGGGCTGTACACTCCTTTTAATTCTAGCACACAGGAGGCAGAGGCAGGTGAATCTCTGGTGTTTGAGATCAGCCTGGCCTATAGAGGCTACACAGAGAAACCCTGTTATGAAAAAAAAACAAACAAGCAAACAAGATGTTGTTTATCTAATTTTTTTATTGTAAAGTTATCCTTTTCTTTTAAAATTCATAAATATTCTTTTTTGACCTAGTCACATCCCCACAGCATTTTGACTGTTCATTGTAAATCTCTCTTCACTTTGTGTGTGTGTGGGGGGGCATTTGCTTCCCTTTCTAACTCTCCTTAGTTTTTTGAGTCAATTTTTAGGTATTTTCACAAGTTTTTAATTCTTAAAAGTATTGTTTCCCCTTCTCTTCTGTTTGCCTCACTGATTCCTATGTAACTTAGTATTCTTTTCTGTGTTCTTTTTCGTTTCAGACATTTGTCAGCTGGTTTTCTTTTATTAATTAATTTTTAAATTTTTTTTTCATACCCGACCAGTCTCCCTTCCCTCCTCCAGTTCACTCCCTTGAACCTCCTTTCTTCCCCCACCTTACCCTACCCCCCTCCTCAGAAAGGGTAAAGCCAACCATGGGAGTTGACAACACATGGCATAGCGAGTTTAGGCAGGACCAAGATTCTACCCTCTGCAACAAGACTGATTAGGCACCCCACCATAGGGAATAGGTTCCAAAAAGCCAGCTCATATACCTGGGACAGATACTGGTCCTACTGCTAGGGTCCCCACAAACAGACCAAAATACATAGCTGTCACTCATATGCAGAGGGCCTAGGCTAGTCTCTTGAAGGCTCCCAAGCTGCCAATCTCGAGTCCCTCTGCTTCCATGAGCTTGGGTCCACTGTCTCTGTGGGTTTCCCCATCATGATCTTGAACATCCACCCTCATTGGTGATATAATACTCTCCTCTGTCTCTTCAGTTGGATTCCTGAAATTCTACCCAGTGCTTGGCTGTGGATCTCTCCATCTGCTTCCATCAGTTACTGGATGAAGGTTCTATGATGACAATTAGGGTAGTCACCAATCTGGTTACAGGAGAATTCCAGTTCAGGCACCCTCTACACTGTTGCTAGGAGCCTTAGCTGGTGTCATTCTTGTGGATTCTTGGGAGTTTCCCTGGTGGTACCAGGTGTTCTAACCCCATAATGATGCCCCCCCATCAAGATATCTCTTTTATTGCTCTCCCTTTCTGTTCTTCCCCAAAATCAGCCATCCCAATACTTCATGTTCCTTTCCCCCTTCCCTTCACTTTTACCACCCCTTCCCCCAGTTTACCCAGGAGATCTCATCTATTTCCCCTCTCCAGGGCAATCCATGCTTGGCCCTCTTAGCATCCTCCTTGTTACTAGTTTCTCTGGGAGCTATAGATTGTAGCCTGTTTATATTTTGCTTTTCATCTGGTATCCACTTTTGAGTGAGTACATACCATGTTTGTCTTTCTTGGTCTGGGTTACTTCACTCAGGATAATTTTTTTTTTTTTCTATTTCATCCATTTGCCTGCAAATTTCATGATGTCTTTTTTCTTTCTTTCTTTCTTTCTTTCTTTCTTTCTTTCTTTCTTTCTTTCTTTCTTTCTTTTTTAATGGTTGAGTAATACTCTTGTATAAATGTACCACATTTTCTTTATCCATTCTTGAATTGAGGGGCATTTAGTTGTTTATAGCTTATGGCTATTACAAAAATGGTGCTATGAACATAGTTGAGGAAATGTCCTTGTGATGTGAGTGTACATCTTTTGGGTATATATGCACAAGAGTATTAATGCTGAGTCTTGAGGTAGATTGGTTTCCAATTTTCTGAGCAATAACATCTTATTTCCAAACTGGCTGTACAAATTTGCATTCCCACCAACAGTGGAGGAGTGTTCCCCTTACTCCACAATAAGTTGTCATCAATGTTTTTGATCTTAGCCATTCTGATTGGTGTAAGATGGTGTCTCAGAGTCCATTTGATTTGCATTTCCATAATGAGTAAGGATGTTGAGCAATTCCTTAAATGTCTTTCAGCCATTTGAGAATCTTTTGTTGAGAATTCTCTGTTTTGATCTGTATCCCAATTTTTAATTGTGTTATTTGGTATTTTGATGTCTAGTTTCTTGAGTTCTTTATATGCTTTGAGATCAGCCCTCTGTCAGTTGTGGGGTTGGTGAAGATCTTTTCTCATTTTTTAGGCTGCCATTTTTTCTTAATGACCTTGTCCCTTGCATTACAAAAGCTTTTCAGTTTCAGGAGGCCTCAATTGTCAATCTCTGTCTGTGCTATTGGTGTTATATTCAGAAAGTAGTCTCCTGTGCCAATGCATTCAAGGGCTACTTCCCACTTTCCATTTCTAGAATTCCCTCAGTTTGTTTTTTCTTTATTGCCTCTTGTTGCATTTTCAAGTCAGACTGTTTCCTTCACTTGTTTGATTGATTTTTCTTGGTTTTCTTGGCTTTCTTTAAGGGATTTGAGTTCTTCCAATTTTTTGTTTGCCTTTTCCTCCATTTCTTTAAGGGAAGTTTTCATTTCCTTTTTAAGGATCCCTATCATCTTTATAAAGTTATTTTTAAGTTCATTTTCTTCTGTTTCATCTGCCTTGGGATGTTCAGCTTTTGCTGTTGTAGAATCACTAGGTTCTGGTGGTGCCATATTGTTCTTTATGTTGTTGAATGTGTTCTTACTCTGGTGTTTACCCATCTGGGTTTTGGATAATTATTGGTATGGGTGTTGGTTCTTGTGATGTCTGTGTTGGATGGGTCTTTTCTTCCTTTATTGTCTGTTTTCTTTTTGTTTTTTGGCCTGAATGACCAAGGCTTCTGGTAATTGCCTGGTTCTCAGATTGTGTAGGGTTGTTTCTGCCGAGGTTTGTGGGGTTTTGGGTGCTTAAATCCAGTATATGTTCCAGTTCTTTTGGCTGGTGTGGGCTTTACTTGTGCCAGTGGGGTCTGTTCTTCCAACTGGTGTGGGTTGTGCTTGTTGCTATGGAGTCTGCTTTTCCAGCTGGTGTAGGTTTTGCCTGTGCCTATTCTTTGAACTGGTGTGGGTTCCATTTTTGCCTATAGGGTCTGCTGATGTTGCTGGAGAGGGCTGTTCATGGGGAGGCTGATCTTTCCTTCTGGTTGGCTGCTAGGACTGAGAAGGGAGGGCAGGGGCATGGGATGTGCCCTAGGGTTTAGGGCCTGGAGATGTGGCAATTTAGCTTAGAGATCAGTCTCTTATTTCTTCCAATTGGTGCAGATGATGCTTGTGCCTCTGTGGCCTGTTGCTGGGTTGGGGGAGTGTGGGGGGTGGGGAGAAGATGGTTGCTCAAGGGGAGGCTGATGGGTTTTGTGGGTTTGGGAGTTAGAGTGTGTCTTGTAGATTACAGAGTCCAATGGGTGATGGCTGTGGTGGAGCAGCCTACACACAGGACTCTTACCTGCTGGCTCAACTAACTTTTCTTTAAGTTCAGTATTCATAGGTTTTGCTTTGTTGAATTGGATGGGAAATTGGATATTATGTATATCATTTCTGAAATTACCTAATTCTCTTTGGTAGATTGTAATTCTTTGTTAATTTTTTTCTTTTTAGACTACTAGTAAGGAGTTTTGTTTGTGTCATGTTAGTTTTCTTAAAAATTTTAAACTCTATCATTTGTAGGGTTTTGTATTCTTTTTATCTTGGTCATTGTGCTCTATCTTATACTTGTAAGTTATTTTTTTACTGTTGCTCATTGAGTGGAACAGTAAATGTGGTCATAAAAGATTTTTTTTTTTCCCTTTAATTCTAGATTAACAGGAGGGAGGAGCCAGCTGTCCTCCAAAACTCTTGTTTTGAACTGTGCTGGTTTCTTGTTTGTCCAAGCATTGTGGTGGTTTCCTTTTCCCAAATAATCATTTTTGATCCTTAGTCCATATGAATGGCAAATATTCCCAGAAATAAAAAACAAACAAACAAACAACAACAACAAAAACTAGCAGACTGAAATTACCTAAGAAGCTCTTATTCTACTAGCTTAGTTTATACTTTGATTTTCGTTGATCTCTGCTGTTTCAAACAAATGCTATGACACGGACAGCAGAGTTGTTTATCTCTTTTACTTTAGGTGTTTGGAATCAGGGACTTGCCACTATGTATTAGTAAACTAATCTTCTAGAAGTCAAAACAAACTTTCCACATTTTAATTGCTTTATACATTGCATTTATATAAGGTTAGTGTGTTTTAACTAGCTGCTTGTCATTGAAATGTTGGCTTTGTTGTTCACCATTACCATCTTTCCTCAATTTAGCAGTGAAAAATAGTTACTTCTGATATTTAGAAAAAAATATAAAGGATAAATTTTATTTAAAAATTACTTTTGGGCAGCACCAGCTATAGTAGAACATAAGCAAAAATTAATTTTCTTTTCTTTCCCTTTTTCTTGTTTAGTGAGTGATAGCTGCTTCAGGAATCTTGCAGAAGACCGCAGTGGGATAAATCTTAAAGACCTTGTCCAAGATCCTTCTTTGTGAGTATTTGTTTTTATCCCTAAGTATAATTTAAAACTGTATTTTTGCATTAACTGAAAAAAAGTTTTGACAGCTAATTTAATTTTTTTTCTGAGAATTTGTTACATTTAGTTGAGTCTGATGGAATAGTTTCTTATAAAATGGAAAAACATTAGAAGATTTGGGGTCATCATGAAAGATGAACTTTCAAAACACTGGTATCTGGTGTCAGCAGTGTAGCAGTAGATAGTAGTCAGACATTACTCGTTGATTTGTTTGGGGAGATGAGAATAAATTTGCTTACATCACTTAAAGTTCATTTGAATATCTTATTTGCAATAATTATTTACTCTTAAAATTAGAAATATAAACTTTTTAATAACTATATATACTTAAATATATTAGACTGTATTTAATGTTCCATATTAGAAAACTATACACCATAGAAATTTGGGGTTTTGTATCTTTCAGCATTATCTATTAATCTATCTATCTATCTACCTACCTATCTACCTACCTATACTCCCAAGTCACGATCCTCCTACCTCTACCCCACAAATGTCATGATTCACAAGCATGTGCCACCAGCCTCCTTGTTTATTTTGTTGTTTGCTGCTCAGATCAGTTCCATTCCTTAAAATATTTTCCATTCCTCTAAATTTTTGACATTTTATATCAATTGAAAAAAAGGTTCAAAATGTGGAACCCAAAGAGACTATTTCATACTATAAATGTGGTAGGTATCCTGTAATTATCAAGACATATATAATATGTGTGCCACAATTTTACAACCATTTCACTATAACAAATTAGTGGAATGCAATGAACTGGATGAGCTATTGTTTGAACATGGTCAAGGAGGTGTGCCATAGGACAAAAGAAATATGAGAAAGTCACAAATCTTGCAGATTATTTTGTCTTTTTACTAACTTGTAAAAGTGGGAGCAAAATTTAACATGAGTCAAGATTGAGATGAGGGGATATCTATTATTTTTTATTTTTTTATGAGTCCTTTTTGTCTATCTCCTACCTGTAGTTATTAAGTACAAAAATAAGTAGAATTTGACACTCATTTTAGCTGGCTAATGTGTCTGTTTGTTTGAACTTCCAATTTGTATGCATTTCTAAATAAATAGCCATTTTAATAGCTTTTTTATTTTCTCATGAATATTAAAAGGTTGCATCCTCTGTGTATGTATAATTTGTTAATTTCTGTTGTATTTTTTAAAACATTTTTAGTGTTATCTCAATGCAGTGAAAAGTCTTTAGTTTAATGTTATATCTCGATTACTAACATCTGTATGCACATTATTTCAATCATATAAGAAATTATTCCTCACATGATATAATTTGGCTTGTTTTGATTTTTAAGTAGATAAATTTAAGGTACAAAAATTAAACTGTTTTTTTAGAGAGATGGTTGTGATATAGTATTTAAGCTATAGTTGGTTGCTTTTTTTTTTTTTTTTTTTTTTTTTTTTTTTTAAGGTAGGATTTCTCTGTGTAACAGTCCTGGCAGTCCTGGCAGTCCTGGCACTCTGAAGATCAGGCTTGCCTCATAATTTCAGAGATCCGCCTACCTCTGCCTTTTGAGTACTAGGATTAAAGGTGTATACCACCACTGCCTGTTCAGTTGCATTCCTTGTAAAGCTTAATTCTCTTTACTTTCAAAACAGTTTTAACTGTGTGCTATGGACGAGTTAAAAAGTCAATACCTTTGTGTTTTGAATTTCTTTTATAAACCCTCAAAAACATTTGTTTTTGCCTGTGAATATGTATGTGCACCATGTTTGCAGTACCTGTGGAGGTGAAAAAATGGGTGCCATTTGTACTGGGATCCAAGTTACAGATGGATGTGAACCACCTCAACTACTTACTGAGCCTTCTCTCCTGCCTCATGTTTTAGATTTCTAATTGCTTATTTTCATCTGTCAAGATTATTTGAATTTAGACTCAATTATAAATGTTTAAAGCTGTTTAAGACTCAAAATCACTATGGAAAAATTATTGGTACTATTCACCCTGCTGTTGATTGAATGTTGGTTGTGAGGTATATGGTCTGGCTCATTTAATTTCCAAATATTTTCAAAAATGTATTACATACTATACTAGTATGTGTTGCTTAACACTGAAAAAGAATTGCTCAGTTTGTGGGAGAATTACAGTAATTCTAGAATATGAGAAGTCTAATTCATAATACAGGCTATTGGTAGTTTTGATTACTTTAAATTGAAAACTTTATGTATACACAACCTTTTTGCTTATCGTTCTTTTATCAGTGGATCTTAGGATAGCTTCTACCTTTCTGCTTTTGTGGCTAAGGATCCAATGAATGTGAATCTCAAAATTATCTTGGTTAGATATATACCCCGGATTGGTAATGCTGGATTATATTTTATTATATTTTTAACTTTTGAAGACACGATACTATTTCCAAAGCAGCTGTACTATTTTACAGTTTACTAGCAATATATACTAGTCTCCCCAATATATGTATGTTTCCTCACACAAAGACATGATTAAAAACCAGAAGCAACTTACTTACATCTTTGCAAACATTTATTATGATTCTGTGTTTTATAGTTACTTTCATTGTTGGTATGAGGTATTTTTCCAACATCCTGAGGAATTTTCCTTATATTTTTAATTAAAGATTATGAATTCTTCCCATTGTCTTTAGTATTGAGTTTAAAATGATTCTGCTTGAAATTATTTAAAGTGTCTGCTGTGTTTGACTACCATAACTAATAATCAAAACATATAGCATAAGACCATCTTAGCTAACCCATAAATTCTCTTTATTGTCATATCTAGATTAAAATACAAATGAAGTCAATAATTTTGTAACCATACATTTTAATAAATTCATTTCCTTATTTTGTATAATACTCATTATATTCTTCACATAAAAAGATATATACTTGTATAGATTATAGTTCAAATATAGGTGCCAGCTTGGATTGATTAAAAATCAGAAACAACATCCTGCTAATGGAAACATATTTGATGTTTTAGCTAATATTTAATAAACAATATTCTATTAATGGATATATATTTTGATATATAAATCACAATTGATTAATAATGAAAGTTTATGTTGAAGAACACAAAGTAGACAAAATAGTTGTGTCTCTATATACATTTCTTAGACATGAAAAATGGCATTTGCTTTTGTATTCACAAATTTTACTAGTTTGGGCGAAAAAAAATGTTCTTTTGGTATTTCTAGAGCATTGCCTTATTCCCCTGAGTATACTCGTCATCACACTGTAGCCTCACTGATGAAATGATATTTTGGTTCCTTGCATCATGACATTAAATATGAAGGAAAGACAGGATTGCTGTCTGGAAAGCAATCATTTCTAAATATAGACTTTGCTTATCTGCTGGTGTTAAGACAGGTTGCTATGGTAAATTGGATTTCCTAAAAATGCCAGTCAGCAGAGGGTAAACATTGCCTTCTGAAGTGGTTATCTTCTATTAAGTTGTACATTGTCATATTGCATTTTCAGAAAGGTCGTTTTTAGAACATCTTTGAAGTCTTTATTATATAAAATAGAAGAGGTTTTGTTTTCACTGTAGACAAATTTCATTTAGTGTTAAATTTTATTTTTCTAGCAGAAGCATTAAATGTTATGAGTTTCAACTTTGCTACCCATGGTTTTGATAATTCTAAAATACTTTTTATAGCTTTTTAATAATTAGCTAATTTGTAAGAAACTAATTTCACCAATTTCATTTTTCCCCCTGCTTGATGGATTATATGCTCAATGGTCTATAGTATGTATATTGTAATGATACAATCTAATTACATACCACAATTGTTGGTATGGGTATGGTATGCTAAATCTACAAACCCCAAAACATAATTGTGCAAACAGGAGCTAAGGACATCAGGTTAGCGATCATAGTGCTTGCTTTTAGTTTAACAATCCAGAGAGACTGAAAAAGGCAGGAAGGAAAAAGTTGCCCATGGTACTTCTTTCTCCAATAATAAACAGTCCAACAAGGAGAGAGAAGTCTTCTGCTTAAAACACAATTCAAGACCTTGTCACATTGAAACCTGCTGTTTAGCAAAGGCCCATGATTTCTTCTATTGCCAGGCAAATACTTGTTACCTAAGCTACTTGATCTGTATTTGAGCTGATGGCTGATTATAATCCTTACCCCTCCTCAAGCTTCAGAGGTAGAATGTAGAGCACGACTTCAATTACCCATGATCAGGACACAAAAGCAAGTAGAGGACATAGTCTTAGGCATGGAGAAAGGGCCCTGCATTGTTTATACCCTAGAGTAGATTTGGATCAGACATGCTCTTCTTCTTAAGAGTTTATGCCTAGGCCCCTATGTCTTTGGAATTGGGGTACAACCCAGGCTGCCAAATCAACTGCCTTCACCAGCCCTACCATACTACCTGAACTACCAACCTTAGCCAGCATAGTGCAATGAAAAATCCTATTTCCTGGTCCTATGATCAAGGCACAAAAATAAGACATTGCTCTGGAACTTAGTACTGGACTGATTAAACTGTATTGGGTAGATTGCCAAGCCTCTGGAATAGCTCCTGTGTTATGGGAACATGACATGTAAGTGGCTACACACATGTGTATCCACACACACATAATAATATTTTTGAAAGACTTATTAGAGTAGTTTGTTTATCTGTACAAAATTTCAGGAAGACATTGGTAGTAATTACTGTACAAATAATAGTCGCAAAGGACTTGACTGTTAATTAATATTTTTTCCTTATTGTTTACATTACTGGATATTTATTTGGGAGTACATTTACAAATTTTCTGCAACTCAGATAAATTCCTTATTTTAGTTATAGCTAGCTATACAATTGGTGGGAAACCAGCACATTGTTGATATTTTCTTGTGATTTCATTTTTTATTTTAAAATATGACTTAATCATTATAAATAGGAATACTTATTCATATTTTCCAGTATTTATTGGGACATTAACAATTTTTTAAGAATTTTTAATAGGGGAAGAAAAGTCAAAGTGGATTGACT